AACCCGCACGACCACACGGCAAAATTCAAACTCGATCTATGATTTTGCAACACTCGAAACGGCGGCCACCTTGGCCACATGTACACAGCGCATAAAGAAGCATAAGGGGAAAGCAGGGGGAATGTGAAACAGACAAAAGTGTTGAACCATGTCTGTTGGTTTTTTGTGGTATGTGCGAATGACTATGCCGACGAGGCACGGTCGTAGTGCTCGGTGGCCTGGGCGGGACCCTTCTTGGCGGCGGCCGAGGGCGGCACGACATCCGAGGGGCACATGTCTTCATAGAACGCCTTGCCCTCGGTGGTGGGCTTGATGACGCCAGCACGAATGACGTAGTCGCCGAACGACTCGCCCTCGATGCGGTTCTGCGCATACATGGGCACGAGCTTGTTCATGATCTCGAGGATCTCCTTCTCGTCGACCGACTCGCGGTAGATCTTGGACAGACGCGTGCCGTTGTGCGAGCCTCCGAGCGTCATGACGTACTGACCGGGCGCCTTGCCCACAAAGCCCGCCTCGGCCATCCATGGACGCGAACAGCCGTTGGCACAGCCCGACATGCGGAACACCGTGTCGCTCGAGCGCAGCCCGTTGGCCTCAAAGATAGCCTCCACCTTGTCCATGAGCAGCGGCAGGTAGCGCTCCGACTCGGCCATCGCCAGACCGCACGTCGGGAACGCCACACAGGCGCTCGCGCTCAGCTTGACACCCGAGTGCTCCCAGTTGTTCATCTTGTACTTGCGCAGATGCGCATCGATCGTGTCCTTGTCCTCGGGCGCAATGTCCGACACGATGATGTGCTGGTTGGGCGTCAGCCTGAACGCGCCCTTGTGGATCTTGCACAGCTCGCGCAGGCCCGTGCGGAACGGCGCACCAGGCTCGTCCTTGACACGTCCGTTCTCGAGCCACAGCGTGCAGTGGTAGTTGCCCTTGTAGTCCTGCGTCCAGCCGTACAGATCCGTGTTGGTCTCAAACTTGTACGACCGCGCCTCGGCGAGCTTGTAGCCCAGACGACGCTCCACCTCGGCCTTGAAGTTGTCGGCGCCGCCCCAGTGCTTGTCGATCGTGTACTTGAGACGCGCCTGCTTGCGGTTCGCACGGTTGCCCGTGTCGCGCTGGATGAGCATCACAGTGCGGCACGCGTCGAGCGTCTGCTCGGGCGTCACAAAGCCGATCACGCTGCCCAGACGCGGGTAGGTGGCCTTCATCGAGTGCGTCACACCCATACCACCACCGACAGCCAGGTTGAATCCGGCGAGGCGGTTGGTCTTGGGGTCGGCGATGGCGATGAGGCCAATGTCGTGCGCAAAGCAGTCCGTGTCGTTGCGCGGCGGAACGGCAATGGCGATCTTGAACTTTCGCGGCAGGTAGTAGGGGCCGTAGAGCGGCTCGTAGTCCTGCAGCACACCGCCGACGAGCAGCTGCTTGGAGCTGTCGGTCTCCTTGTCGAGCCAGATCTCGTGGTAGGCGTTCATGCGAGGCAGCAGATGCTCCGAGATCGACTTGGAGAACTCAAAGACGTCCTCGTGCAGCTCGGTGAGGTTCGGGTTGGGCGAGCACATGACGTTTCGGTTGACATCACCGCACGCGGCGATGGTGTCGAGCATCGACTTGTTGATACCCTGCATGGCCGCCTTGAGGTTGCTCTTGACGACGCAGTGGTACTGGATGGTCTGGCGTGTGGTGATCTTGACCGTCTGGTTGCCGTNCCCTGCATGGCCGCCTTGAGGTTGCTCTTGACGACGCAGTGGTACTGGATGGTCTGGCGTGTGGTGATCTTGACCGTCTGGTTGCCGTACTTTTCGGCGACGTCGTCGAGCTGCACCCACTGCTCGGGCGTCACCACACCACCGGGGATGCGCGCGCGGATCATGAAGCTGTACGCCGGCTCGAGACCGGCGGCCTTGCGCTCCTCGAGCGTGTCGCGGTCGTACTGCATGTAGGTGCCGTGGAACTTGGTGAGCTGGCCGTCGGTCTCGGGGATGGCGCCGGTCGACTTGTCCTCGAGCGCCTCCTTGATGGTGCCGCGGAGGTAGTTGGAGGCGATCTTCATGTGCTCGTTGGTGATCGGCTCGGGCTCGGCCTCCTTGACCTCGACCGTGTCGACGCCGAGCGACTTCCAGAGCAGCGGCTCCCAGATCTTGTAGCCGGTCTGGTAGCCGTCGGCGTCCTGGTCGTCGCCGAGACCGATGGGCGCCATGCGCGTGGCGCCGAGCTGCTCGAGGCGCACGTCGATGTCCTTTCCGGGCTTGTTGTAGTAGTGCGCGTCCTCGGGTCGCGGCCAGTAGTGGCTGTCACCCATGGCGAAGACGGTGTAGTTGACCGTGTCGGGAAGGGTGGAGACGGGCATGGCGTGGAGCGCCTTGTAGGTGAAGCGGCCGTTCTGGGGCGCCTCACCCTGACCGGCGGTGGAGGTGAGGAAGACGACGTTCTTCTCGTCCTTGAGCTCCTCGGCGACGGGGTAGTCGTCCATGGTGAGCAGACGAGCGGCCACACCACGCGCCTTGGCACGCGCGGTGAGCTTCTTGGCGACCTTCTCAGCGTTGCCGCCGTCCGAGGCGACGAGGATGAGCAGGGACGGGCCGTCGAGGGAGCCGAGCATCTTGTCGTAGGCCTCCTTGGCCTTGCGGCGCTGGAGCTCGCGGAGCGCGTTGCCCTGCGAAGCGGCAATGTCGTAGGAGAGCTCGGGGCGCGAGTTGACGAGCGTGGTGAAGAGGTTCTGGCGGTCGAGGAACTGCTGGAGCTGCTCGCGCAGACGCACGCCGTCGAGGCGGAAGACGTCGGAGCCGCGAGCCTCTGCGCTGGGGTCCCAGCGGAAGAGAGGCCAGTAGCCCGAGTCGACGGCGAGCTTGGTCTCGCGCAGCACGTCGAGCGCGGGCGCATCCTCGGTGCGGTAGGGGACGTAGGCGAGCACGATCGACGGGCCGTCGAACTTGTCGGCCTCCATGAGCGCATGGAGGACCTGGGTGTAGTCGGCGTAGATGGCGGTGCTGGCGACGTAGACGTTGCCGTAGTTCATGGCGTAGAGGGCGATGTCCTTCTTGCGCTTGTGAGCCGCCTGTGCGTCTCGCTTGGAGTAGGGGACGCTGTCAAAGATGAGCATGTTGACGTTGCGGCCGGAAGCGATGACGTGGTGGACACCACCCATGCCGGCGTCGTAGGCCCAGGCGTCGCTGCCGACGATCCATCGGCTCTTGAGGGCGAGGTGGGAGGAGAGCGCCTTGATCTTGTCGAGCGCAGCGGCCGAGGTGGACGACTGGAGGAGCGAGGCGACCTTGTTGCTGGCAGCGACGTTCTTCTTGGCGTCGGCCTTGGCGACGAGCCACTGCGAAAGCGCCTGGTGCAGCTCGGTGGAGACGCCGCCGTCGCGGAGGACGTCGTTGACGGCGCGGACGAGCTGGTCGCGCTGCTCGAGCTGAGCGAGAACCTGACCAAAGGCGTACTCGGGGGTGCGAGCGGCGGGGTGGTCGTCGGAGTCCTCGTTGGCCGAGTTGATGACGGAGAGGCGGTCGGCGAAGACCTGCTCGAGCATGAGGTTGTAGGCCTCCTCGTGCTTGGGCACGCTGACGGGGGCGGAGGATGCGGCAGCCGCCGGCGCGGCCTGTGCGCGGGCAGCGAGCTTCTTGAGGTCACCGACGACGAACGAGTGCTTTGGCTTGGGGGCCTCGAGCGCCTTGATGAGCTCCTTTGCGGTCTTGTCGCCGTCCTGGATGTGGCCGAGCGTGCCGCTGACAAAGACGGAGGGGAGGGCGCGGTCGGAGCCCTGGAAGGCGGTGGCGACGTCGACAAAGAGGGGGCCAAGCTTGGTGGTCCTCTTGATGCTCTGCTCGAGCACGGCGATGCGCTTGACGCCAGCGGGGATGACGTCGAGAAGGCGCTGGGGCAACGAGGGGCGGACGAGACGCACGTCGAGCACGGCGAGGTCGTTGTGGGGGGCGGTGTAGTCCTGGAGGACCTCGGAGCCGGCGCCAAGAACGACGGCGAGGTTGGTGGCGTCCGAGGCGCCGACAAGCTGGAAGGGCTCGACGGCGTGTCCGACGAGCTCGGCGACGTCCTCGTAGGC